TTGACAAAAATTTTTGGGTATCATCCACCTTAAAGAAGCGTTGAACTTACTAAAATTTTGAAAGTCGAAATGTTCTTGCCATCACATTAGATAGGGCCGTGGAGAGGGGGGCAAGGGGGCAAATTGCCCAAGGACTTCGAGGTCTATAGGGCCTCATTTTAAGGTAATTAATTCCGTTTCAAAATGGAATTACTTAGAAGAAACAAAGCTATTCCTAAAATAGTAAAATATCTTAAACGACTGGACGATTTTAAGCTAATTTAATGGGCGTGGTCGCAATAATTTTCTGCTCGCTTCAATTGCAAGGGGCCTCACCGCTCGCTCTTGCCCCAGGGCCTCCAAAACGTCCCTGCGGCCTGAACTTTAAGCAATACATTTTCCTCAGAAAAGATCTACCCCTTGTTTATTAAACCCTGTTTGATTAGGCCATGCCTCCATTTATTTCAACACGTTTGCTACCAGTCAGTAGGGTAGCGAGGGGAGGCAGGATGGCCCTTCCAATGATTCCACAAATGTTCAACAACCATTCGCAAGTGATATGTCCTGTGTTCTTTCCTGCATTTCCTTGTACTAAGATTTTCAGGGACCGGTTTACCGGGGGTTATGGGAGGTACAAAAACCCCCATCCCCACAATATGTTGTGTTCTTCGGTAAACTTTGCTTCGATTCGATAAAAATTGTTTGGCTGTCAATAGTAACAGAATTGTGCAGAAAACTTGCTTTATTCATCTTCTTATCTTCTTTTTTTCTTAACTCATGTGAGGTATCCATTTATTTTTCTTTAGAAGTTTAATTCTAAAGGCAACAGGATTTTTGAAAGATAATTAGTTTAAAAGATAATACTAATTAAGTTTCATTTTGTAGATTATCAAATCTTTGAAAATTTGTAGGGGTTCCACTAGCTGGCCCTCCTTTGAAAACATACCAAAGGTTATCCAAGTTTGCCATACTGAATAATCATTCGGAATGTTTGTTACCCATTTGATGACGTCACTTGATCTCTTGCGACGATTTTTCCGTCCACAGGTTCATAACAGAGCTCACAAGGAAGGGCAGAAGTCTGTATGATAGACCACGGGTAAATTCCTTGCATCTTGAATCAATTTGAAAATAATCCTGGTCCTTGCGCACAGCTGTGAGTATCAATACTTCAGTGGTGATTTTGTCTCCTCTTTTGTAAATCGATTCCCTTGATGGTGTTAGGACACAGTAGATAAGAAGGGTTGTTAGGCCAAACTTAACACCTTCATGAAATTATGCTCACCATTAAGCAGCATCTATTTACATATAACTAAACATGTCCTCTTTATGCAGAATAAGGACCATCGAGACAAGCACCAAGGAGATCATGAGGTAGGACATATTTTAGGGGTTTTTTATTGGACTAAAAAGTTTAAACTAGCAACTTTTTAAGTTAGGCCAAGTGTATATATTTTAACATGTTTGGTTTGGTTTAACTAGTTCTGCCTGTTGTTGTGCCATTTGATAGCCGATTGTCTTATTGTTGCTCATTTGTGGATTTGAGCTTGCTGTTCAACCTAGGAATCTAAAATTCGCTAATAAGTAGTGCTAATAAACTAATACGAAGTGAAGTCAAGAGAAAATGAATGCTAAGGCCTATTCTTGCACTTTTAAATGAAATCTAAAAATGTAGGTAATAGAACTATCATAGCAGATATACCACTGTCGATTCGTGCTGTCGACAAAGAAAGCTAGATTTTGCCGCTATCTATAGATAAATGTTGTGGTTTTTATCTGAAATTTAAAAAAAAGCTGTTATGATAAAAAATGTGTAACAGATAAGATCAAAACCTGATGTAAATCTATTCCGAGATCCTGAGATGTATTTTTAAAATTGGCAGATGCATGCAGTAGGTCAAATTTGAAATTCCTCACCATTTTACAATTGCTTTATTTTGAGGAACTTTTTTTGTATTAAAGAAGCATGCAGAAAATGTTGCTAAAATGATAGTGCATCTTGAATATAGAGCATGTCTTGCATAATATATGTTTGAATTTTGTGCTTTATACTTTGTCATCAGACAATGACATTCGTTCAATGCTTCATCAGTTTTTAGAACATTTTTGTTTTGCTGTTTTCTAGTTCAACATGGGGTTTCTATAGCAACATTTCTGCACAAGAAGCAGAAGAGTTTTTATCAAAATATGGTGAACACGGCAATTTCCTTTGTCGCAGAAGTGGAACAACACCAGGTGCTTACACACTTTCTGTGAGGTATGAGTACCTTTTTTAAATTTTTAGCTCTCCAAAACTTAGGGCTTCTCCGGTTGGGAAATTAGGGGTTGTGTACTATGTTTGTACCAGGTGCTTACACACTTTCTGTGAGGTATGAGTATCTTTTTTAAATTTTTAGTTCTCCAAAACTTAGGGCTTCTCCTGTTGGGAAAATAGGGGTTGTGTACTATGTTTGTACCAGGTGCTTACACACTTTCTGTGAGGTATGAGTACCTTTTTTAAATTTTTAGCTCTTCAAAACTTAGGGCTTCTCCGGTTGGGAAATTAGGGGTTGTGTACTATGTTTGTACCAGGTGCTTACACACTTTCTGTGAGGTATGAGTATCTTTTTTAAATTTTTAGCTCTCCAAAACTTAGGGCTTCTCCGGTTGGGAAAATAGGGGTTGTGTACTATGTTTGTACCAGGTGCTTACACACTTTCTGTGAGGTATGAGTACCTTTTTTAAATTTTTAGCTCTTCAAAACTTAGGGCTTCTCCGGTTGGGAAATTAGGGGTTGTGTACTATGTTTGTACCGTTAGAAGAGAGATCAGTATGTCCAGCTTAACATGTTGGTACTTCTGTTCAATGACCATCTCCCACCATTATAGGAATTCATTTATGTATAGGCCTGCCCTTGGCAGACTGCTGCTTGAAAAATTCTTTAAAGGTTTCACTGTACACTTGCTCCCTCAATTATATAAGCTCTTTCAATTGGAGTGCAATGAGAGGTTTTCTAGCTCAATATCTGTCCTGAAATAGTATAGTTTGTCTTTGTTTGAAAATTAAAATTAAAACAACTTATGTGTAGACAACTTATAAAAAATTGATTTGAGATTAAACATAAATATCTCTTCATCCTAATGCAAAAATTATATAGTTACTATTATGCTAATTAAGCTATTAATTCAAATTTTTAAAATGATGGATAATTTAACACTTCACCTCTCCCTCTTTGTTTTTAAGGCGCAAAGATAAAGTTTTTCACTATAAAATCAACAATGATGGAGAATGTTTTAATTTGTATGGAGAAGATGGATTTGCCAGTGTTCCAGAATTAATAGACTATTACCGAAACAATGATGGTATTTTTCTTGATGAAAATGGTGAGAATGTTGATTTGATTAACCCCCTCTTTGTGGAGACGTCAGGTGCTTCATTGCAACAAGAAAGGTAATTAATTCAAACCTTTTATTTACTTTCCTTATTATATTAGTTGTTCCAGACATTTACTAGCCATCTAGGTCATTATTAGTGATGTCATTTGCTTAATATTTATGATGGTGATAAAATACTCTGGGTTGCGGACTTCAGGAACAAGTATCATAAGAACAAGTATCATAAGAGCACTATATATAGCTTTTTCTCATACATGATCAGGTTTCAAAAAAACCTTAAACTACCCTTTTTAGATTGTCAGCAAACCCCCATAGCCATAAAATAATTATTTCCCTTATAGGTGGTTTTATGGATGCATCAGTAAAGATGAAACAAAAGAAATGCTACTAAAAAATGGGTCGCCTGGCAGCTTTCTTATTCGAGAGAGTCAGTCAAAACCTGGAAATTATGTATTATCAGCCAGGTAAGTTCAAGGAACCATCTTTTTGCAGCATCATTGACAAAGTCACCCTTGATGTGTCTGTATGGTTGACTAGCAGTTTCTTTTAGACAATCAGGGTCCAGGTATAAAATCTAGAATCCCTTTATTTCCTAAAATGTTTCTTTCAATGTTTTCTTTGTCCTCCAGTTTATTTGTCAGAATATAAACCTAGTTGTTTTGTACAAAATTTAACAAGTTACAATAAACACATCATTTCTCTTATAATTTAATACTTCACTTTATAGCTATATTTTGGTTGAATTATTAAATTAAATGATATCAACAAGGATAGAAAATAATTGACTACAAGTTACTGTTTAAGTGCTTTATTGTGCACAGTTATAGTTGATATCTTTTGTATTCTTGTGGAAACAACTTTGTAAAGAAAAGGGGTTTTTGTATCTTAGGCCTAATCAAACAGGTTAGCATATGTGATAATGTTGTCAAATGTATAATTTACTGATTTATTTTTACCTTGATCAATTTACAGGTCTGAATTTGACGTTGTAGAGTTTCTGGTGGAATATCATGATAAAAGCTTTGACCTCTCTGGTGCTAAACGTTTTAGTTTTCCAAGCTTACACTCATTACTTGATTATTACAAGTTACATCCAATCATCCACAGACAGACAGATCAGCAAGTGAATATTTGTGAGGTATATATATTTCTCAGTTCCTAGAAAGGAATGGATAATGCCCTGCAAATAAACTTTTTTGAAATATAAGGTTAGATTATTACATATAAGGCAGTTGTTAGTTTGAAATTTGAGTTAAGTTACAATAGTTTTGATGCATGTCTGTCATCAAAGATAACTGATTTTGAGGGGAGTAGGGCTGCAACCCCCATTTTTAAAATTTATCTCTTTGAAACAGATTCCTCATAGGCCAACAGCTAAATTCCTAGCTACTGAAGTGGTTGCTAAAGTTCTATTGTTTATCCTCTAGATCCTCCCCATTTTTCAGGGGCTTGCGCTGCATCTGGATGGCTAGCCTTCCTGCTATGTTCTAGAAATTTTTGCAATCCATGGTATCAACTTTCTTTAACGTTTTCAGCCTTTGTCCGTTACTACTGAGAAGAAGAAGTCAGACTCTGTCATGAAAGCAGAATTTGAAGTATGTTTTTTTCTAGGTTTTATTCTTTATTTGCTGTATTACCTTTGCAGATCTGTTCATTTAGAACTATACAAAGACACACAAATGTATCATCTTGTCGTGTTTCTTTGAATCAATAACCCTAATCCTTGGAAATATTCATGAAAAAATGGTACAAAGTATATGATATGGGCATTGTTTTTATAGAGTAGAAGGATGTAAGAATATGGTTTTTGCTTAGATGTTGGATTCACTTAGATGACATCCCAATGCATTTTTTACGGTACAGTTTCTTGGAGATGTTATTCAACCTTGCTTGTGATCATGAAATCTATGTGCATCCACTTTTGTAACTCTACTCAGTTTCACATCTGGTTATAATTTTGTTAACAGAGACTGCAACAACTTGATAGAGCAAATCCTGCCAGTAAAAAGGAAGGTAGAAGGCCTGAAAACAAAACTAAAAACAGATACAAGAATATTCTTCCTTGTAAGTGATTTGAGCTTCTGTATTTAAGCAACAAGATATAAGATAAGGTAATTTTATTGGCTAAATTGATCTTTCCGTTTCCATCTTTTACTAACAATGTATGGTTTTGGCTACCATTACTTATTACAGCTCTTTATTTTAAAAAAAGCAAATTATGGTACTGGTGTAGTGCAAGCACTGTCTTTCTACCCAAAAAGTACAGAGGCACAGCATAGTTTTTTACAAGGACTCCCTGTCCTAAATATGCCTAAATATGTCTTTAAGCACATGATATAGACTAGGCAGCAAGTGAAAGACTAGGCTCTTGGGCTGGACTGTTTACATAATTTCTACTGTTTGCATCTTTAGCTTTGCATCTTTCCCAGATTCTGTCTTCTGCAACTTCACAAGTTACAGATGCTTTATACATTATTTTTCTTAAAATACAAAGGGACGTATTGGAATATTGACTAACAATGATGTTTTTTAGAATGTGAAATGGTAATGTAAATGCTACTTAAACAACTGAACTTTTTTCAATCTGACAGTTGATCATACAAGAGTGAAATTAAGAACTGGAAAGCCACATATTGTTGGTTCTGATTACATCAATGCAAATTACATTGAAGTGAGTATTCAAATTATGCAAGGAAGTAAGTAACTTTGGTCTTCAAACCTAACAAGAAGACGCAACAAAGAAGACGCTTGCAATTATTGCAGGTCTAGTAGCTGTTGCAGGAGAAATGTAAATTTCAAGTTTTGCGTTTGAATTGTAGCTTTCTGGTTCACTATTAGAAATGGATTGATGAAAATATTTATAATTCAAAAGAAAAGAATAAGAAAAGAGGAGAGAAAGTAGTAGTCATTACAATTTGGATTTTGCTTCAAACCCCTATAGGGAATGGTTGTAGGCACCACTTGAAATCTTTAGCCAAAACATCATTTAAATTTCTTCAGCATTCCTTTTGACTTTTCATTTATATTGAAAGCTTTCTTTTTCTTTTCAAGGATGATGTCACAGGAAAAATTTATATAGCATCACAAGGATGTATGCAGTCAATTCTAAACGATTTTTGGCAAATGATTTATCAGGAGAACAGTCGTATAATCATTATGCTAACGAATGAAGTTGAAAAAGGAAAGGTAAAGAAATTAATATTTGTTTTCCTTTGCTAATTTGTAGTAACTGCCTAGCTACTTGGTTTTCAAATACCAGTAAAAATTCCATAATAGCTGATGGATATGTTTGTCTTAACATTTCAATTTCACTTAATTTAATCTAGAGTACTAGAATAAAAGAAAATAATCTAGAGTACAGAATAAACCGGGGGAAGGGTGGAAATTTTCCAAAATGGTTTTAAATGTGGTGAATAGGTAGCAGTCCCTTTAAATTGGAATCAGAAATAATATAACTAGATGCTGGTTTCTTGAAATAGAAAATAATATATATTTATAACGCAACAGTATATGATAAAAATGTTATGTAAGTTCTTAAAAATATTAAACTATTTTCCTTTTTGTTCTCGATTCCCTTCCTTACGCTGTGCTGTAGAACATTTGCAATTTTTATGTATGCAAGACCCAAAAATAACAAACAAGGGATCTGGAAAAAGGATTTTATGGGTGTGTTTTTTTGAAGAATTTATAAGCAGGGAGGTGGTATGTTAAAGTTTGACTAGAGAGTATGTATAGGAATGTAAAACTGATATTAATGCTTTATTAACTATATTCCCACCTGGGAGCAATTTGATAACTCTTCTAGGTAAACCCAAAGGGATAACATAAAGCCTTAGCTCAAGATCTTTTTCTACGGAATCAAGAATAAATTTTTTTCAAAAGTATTTGCAAAGAGTTATAAAGCTTAATGCTAACAATTTATTGTTCTATTTCTCGTTTAGGAGAGCATTGCTGTAATGAAGTGTTTCTCTTCTATTTCTACAGATTAAATGTATTCGATATTGGCCTGACAAGGGATCGATTATGTTTTGTGGTGATAAGACAGTGGCAAATGTCAGTGAGAGAAGTACTAGAGATTACATAATACGAGAGCTACATGTTTCTCGTAACAATGACGTAAGTAGATACAAATTTACGCTCGATCATTGTCAACATAATCTTAATCAAGAAAAACATCAATGTCATCAATCATCATAATCATTTTCAGCAATCACGATACCATTATCAATCATCATCATCAATCACCATCACTGTCAGCCATCAATCATCATCAGCCATCAATGATAGTTATCAATTGATCATAATCATCATCATCAAACTCCATCATCAATCACCATCATCATCAATCATCAATCATCATGAGTCAGCATCAATCATCATATTCATCTTCAACACTCATAACCATTATCAATCAAAGGCCATCAATACCATCAATCATCATCATCAATCACCATCACCATCAGCCATCAATCATCATCAGCCATCAATGACAGTCATCAATTTATCATCAATCAACATCATCATCAATCGTCAATCATCATGAGTCAGCATCAATCATCATTTTCTTTTTGTTTTGAAGCATTAAGGTCAGGACATTCGAAGAAGACACTATCTTGGGTTTTCAAAATTTTATAATAGCAAGAACAGAATAAAGCAAGCGTGAACAACTGACTCATAATCCGACTTCGAGGTCTGGGCACGAGTGAAAGGATTAACCAGATGTTTCTGCTTCACAACAATCTTCAACATTCATAACCGTTTCTATCATCAGGCATCGTCATCATCAATCATTATCATCAATCACCATCAATCATAATCATCAATTCATCATAATGATCATCATCATCCACTTATCACGTGATTGAGCTGGTAACCAAGACATTTTTTACCCTGTTTCTATCCATTCTAACTGGACATAATACAACTGAACATTAGCTATCAACCTGTAAATACAACAAAAATTATTTTAGGACGAACCCCACAGTGGACCAGCCAAGCCCCCTCGGAAAATATTTTTCTACCAGTACACAGAATGGCCTGATCACGGTGTGCCAACGGATCCTGGATCGTTGCTGCAAATGTTACAGGATGCAGACAACAAGGAGAAGAGCTCCTTTGAAAAACCTGGATGTCCCATAATTCATTGCAGGTATTGCTACGGTTGATAGCTTATCATTGACATAACCCCCAGTTTGCTGCATAAATTAATATGATTTTATTGTTTTCACTAACCCTTGACAGGGTGGTCTTTATTTATAGATTTCATTTGACAGTAAAGATTATGAAGAAAATTTCCTGTGAAGCCAAGCGTGTTGTTGAAGACAAGAAAGAGATACATAAATACCAAACATGATTTAAGATGTTGTCAGCAACCTTTTGATAGTGAATCCTTCGCGATATTTCGTGTGGCAAAAATATCATTTTCCTGTAATTTCTTGTTACCAATGGTCACACTGTCACCGGCAAAATAACACCCTGCCCCTGGACAAATGGCTTAGCCTGATAATTGCCTGCAGCTCGTTTCATGAACACCTTCTACTTGCAATGTTATACTCATTATATACAACTGACCGTATGGTTGTGACATGTTATGTTAAGTGTTAATACTAATTCACAGCTTCTTCTTGAAAATATTCTTAGGCCATTCTGATATGTATCCGTACTTTTATCAGCTGTCCACATAACTTTTTGTATCGAACAAAACCGAGGGGCAAATCACTCTTGGAAATCTCGTATACCTGGCGGAAATCCTATTGTTTTATCGTAAAATCCGCTGAAATCCTTTTTTGGCAGAAATCTCACATGCTAAGACAAGTCATGTTGCTTGAATAAACTTAAACAAAGTTCATTGTCATTAAATAGTCCCAATAAAGCCTGCTACGCGGACACCCTATGACCCGCATTTATGGTAGCAAGCCTCGGAAATAAACCAGAAATTCTGCTTTTTTTTCAGTGCCGGGATCGGGCGAACGGGGACTGTTGTGTGCGTTGATATGCTGATCAACCAATTGAGACTCAAGGGTAAGTCGCCTTTTTCTATTCTCGTTAACCTTATAATGTAGCCTTAACCACAATCACTTCTGTGCTATAAATAAGGTGTAAGAAAACGTCATAGAAATGGATTTTTAAAATTTTCAACTTTTTACCAACACCATGAAAAACCCTTTTAGTGAAAAATCAGTTAAAGCTTGAAAATGAAATGAGGTATGGCCACTGAAAGATTTGAAGCAGGATTATGAATTGCTTTATATTTTGTTTGGTTCATAAGGTTATGAACAGAGACCAAATTACAGTGATTGATAGAACAACCCTGTGCTTCTTTTGCCATATCTTACAGGTAATTTGGTCTAAAGGCTGGTTTTCATATAATGTATTTCATCGCAATTAAGAGTCTACGATCATGTTTAAGAGTCTGCAATCAAGATTATTTCCCTTGTATGAAAACCGACAAATTTCGGCGTATTTTGACGTATTTCGACGTATTTCGACGCAGTGGCGTAGCGTCCGGGTATTCAAGGTATTCAGTGAATACCCTGAGATTTCTCAGAAAAAATATTAATACGACGTATAATTGTAATAAGTAAAAAATGTTTTGGGGCTATTGATTCTGGTTGAATTCGTTACCTCCGATATTCTACATTTTGTACAAGTACAAAATATCATCAAATTCATGGAAACAATAACGCTGCGAAGCATAGAGAAGCTGGGAGATCTTTGAAGCTAATTTTGAAGATTGAGCTACTTCATGTTGTATGGAGATCGGTCATGAATACGCAGTGAATACCCTAGACGGTACTTTAACCAATCAAAATGCTCCTTTCCATGAATAATATTTGCCGTTAATCAGCTAAAACAATGGTTCTGTACGCTGAGAGATATGCAGCGTACAGCCTCAAAGTTGGTTCAAAATAGTTAGTTCGTTATGAGATCGATATAAACAGTTAATGGACGTCGGAGCGGTTGGAGTGATGGAGCTGCACCGAAAACAGTAAACATGACTTAATTAAAAATTGCAATGTCCGTATTACTGTTTCATAATCATTCTCTCATTTGACCACTAAACTTAATCTACCAACAGCAAAGTGGAAAGGAAAGGTAGGCTGCTACATAATGGGATGTTTCTGTTTGTATTATGTGATAGAATTAAAGTAAATGCAGATAGGCCTGGATAATATCCTTATAGTTGCCTGGTGTATTCAGTTATCTTGTTGGCCTATTTTGTTTGCATTATTCGAGCGCATTTATTTGCATTATTGTGCAGTCTCATCTCATTACCTTCGATTCTTTCAAATATTAACTTGTATTGAAAATATCACGATTAGGCCATGAAGAAAAAGTCTATACTGCATACCACAAAATCATTTATAACTCATGTAATGCCCTATGTGAATAATTTTGAAACTTTCGAAAGCCCTTTTGTATTAAGGTATTAAGAGTAGGTGTTTACAGTTACTTCCTCTTTACATCAGTGCAAATGTTAGACGATTCAACAACAACTATTGGGACATATTTCGACCAGTAAAATTTTACTGGCTTTCAATGATATGTTTTGATTTGAATTACTTTTGATGAAATGGTTAGTGGTAATTTGATGCAATGAATGAGTTCGAAGAGTATATTTGAAGGGTCCTTTAGCAAAGTATCGTTTTCATCATAGTAATGCCCTGACAGTGCAGTACTTGCCAACCGAACCAAAAAGAAAATTAGATAAAATGTCAATAGCTAGTCCTTTTAATCTTCCTATTATCCCCCTATTTTCATCAAGCCCCATCGAGCCACACCCTGCCCCACCCTTTTGTTTAATAGAGAATACCCAGTTGAAAAAGTCACGCTACGCCACTGTTTCGACGTTTTGCGGCGTATTTCGACGTATTTCATCGCAATTCAGAGTCTACGATCAATTAAGATTATTGCTCTTATATGAAATATGACGTATTTTGGCCTATTTCGACGTATTTCGACGTATTTCATCGCAATTCAGAGTCTACGATCAATTAAGATTATTGCTCTTATATGAAATATGACGTATTTTGGCCTATTTCGACGTATTTCGACGTATTTCATCGCAATCACCTATCGTATAGAACGTAATCCAACGTATTCCAACATAATTCATCGGAAGAAATCAAAAAATTTTGTTTCTCCTGACAAAATACTTTCAATTACGGTGAATTAAGATAGAATACGGTTTTTTGGTTTTCATATACCGTGAAAATCGTGGACCCTGAATTTCGATGAAATGCGTTGAAATACATTATATGAAAACAAGCCTTAAACTAAAAGATTCTACGAATGTGTTTTGTGATGTCATCACTTGAGAACTCTATTGCCTTAAATATGGGCCGTTCCCAATTTGACCAAAGGGCCAAAGCTCTTGCAGAATAACTGCCATACTACCCTAATATCTGCATAGTTTTTTTAAATCAACTGGGATTCAACGTTTTAGTACCTAACAGTTCAGCATTCATGGATATGTTTTATGGATGTATTTAGAAAGAAGTGCTAGCCAAATATTGGGAATTTTGACGAAAATAGGGAATAGATGACAGTAGGGTAAAGAGAAAAGCTGGTGACCGAAAAATGCCAAAACATTAGCATTGAAGGAGAAGGTCTTGTCGTACCTGGGAATAAAGAGATGCTTTCAAAAAGACCCAAACCGGGACACCCCTTCTCTCGTTCTGGACTATTACTATGCATGACACCTACACAGTTAACTCCAGGGACAACCGAAGACCTACTCAAATTTGCTACTTTCGAAACTTATTTTTTCTCAGGGAATCTAAACAGCATCGATGTGCCGGGCACCGTTGAGAAAGTTCGAATGCAAAGGTCAGGTATGGTGCAAACAGAGGTATGTTTCATAATAATTTTCCTTTTTGTCATTTTTTTAGTCAATTTAAAGATAACTTCGATAGGCTATGAAAATTTCATCAACAGTTGATCAGTTTTATTCTCATCGTACAAGCTGCCAATCATAAAACTGTCGGAAACCGTCAGTCACAAACAGTCAATCAATGAATCAGTCTCCTGCAAACAGATAATCACTTAATCAGTCTGCTGCAAACAGATAGGCTGCAAGCAGACAATCATGAAATCAGTCTGCGGCAAATATGTAATCATTGAATCAGTCGACCAGCTATCAACCACTGTTTATTCATAGCTGGAGGGCTTCGCATCTGCAATAGTAAAGAGACAAATTTTAAGTCTCAATATTTTTATATGGGTTATTTCTAGTCTCGATTTTCTTTTATCACTGTCAACCGTGTATTCTGGGCTGACGATTCTGGGCTGTCGATTCTCTTTTTAAATTTACATAACTTTGTAAATCATGCAGAAATTAGAAATATTTGGTGTGTGTTGAAATACCAGGATAATCTGAATCATTAGCACACGAGTCCTTGGAAGTGCTAATTCTTTTTCTAGCAAATGGTCAAAGCATTCAAACCATTGCAAAATTGCTAACGAGAACTGGGCATGGTCTAGTTGGCGTGACTGGATTTTATTTGTTTGCAGCGATTGTTTTCATCGTCATAAGCGTATTAAACCCAACTTTCCTCAGCTCTTCGCAGCACTTCACCTCTTTTGTCTCTATTTATACTTTTATACTCTCAAGTGCTTTGGACGAAATGATTTTTCTGTGCTTGGTTCTGTCTATTTTAAAGTCAATGATTTTTATTTCAGCTCCAGTACAAGTTCATTTATTCTGTTCTCAATTATTACACTGAAGTAGAGAGGAAAATATTTTCCATGAAGAAGGTGAGAACGGTAATTTTCATATGTATATGTGTATGTATTTGCTATTTTTTAATCTATTGATTTTCATTATTATCAATTCATTATGATTATTAGTTTCTTAGTTAATATTTAAAGCTGCGTGATCATTTCTTTTTATTAAATAATGTGAAGTCATAACCATATAGGAACGTAAATTTTTTGAAAAGGTGAACCGACTGACAATAATAACCAATTCTAATTTTGTACTAAAATTGTGACAAGCCTTTACTTACCAAACCTTAACTTTATACGGTTTGGTCATTCCGCTCCTGAATGGCAAAAATATTCGCCATTACCGTTATGTTATTCTCTGATGTCATTAAGTCTTGTAAATACAACTTGGATTTGCCCATTGATCTCAAATTTTTGGCTAACTCAAAGAGTTTCAAAGACTTTGGAGTGTGACTCCTCTAGTATTTTCCTGCCTGTAACCATGCTTATATGCAACTCTAGGATTAGATTACGAAAAATTCTTAAAATATTACTCGGTTTTCATTTTTTATATTGCATTTACCGTCACAATATGCTCATAGTTCCTCATACCCATACCCAAGTTAATTGTCTATTTTTTTTAAATTCTTTGGGCAAAATGACCCAGTGAACATATCCCTCCTAGACCAAACCAGGCATGTTTTCACAAACCAGCCATATGGTGCAGTTTTTTATACACATGTGAAAGTCTTTGATATGTTCATAATTGACGCGCTTGTTTCAAACTCACCGCCTTTTTAGCATTATAATTAGTAAATTAATATGTGTGATTTGTTGACGTTGTCTTTTTTATTCAACAGAAGGATCAAATCTACTCCAATATTAATGAAGCCGGTTTAGACTCTAAAAGGTTTGTTTATCATGTTAACAATACCCAACTGTTAAGTGTTTTAGTTTGTAGTATGATACCCTATTGTAATAATGATAATGCCTTTTTTCTGTAAGTTTAACAATAGTGTGAACACTAAGTTACACTAACGTGAAGCAATTTTAGAGATTGTGTTATTGAAGTCAGTGACTGCAAGCATTACAGGCGCATTGATTTTCGAAATACAAAGTTTTCATTTTTGGATGATTTTATTTCATTTGGAAGGGAATTCCAAATCTTTGGACCCTGAAAGCTGATAGATTTTATACCATAGCTTGTAATTTTAACGTTGGGAACAGAGTGTCAATTCTTCAAAGATTATAGCTATTGGGTTTTGGGAGAAAGTAGTCTTATATAAAGGCTGGACTCCAGCTGTGCAAAGTTTTGTAAACTTCTAATGCTAGCAGCCTAATAGAGTAAATATGAATTGTAGTAGATTTAGCCTTCGAAGATTTAGCCTTCGAAGATTTAGCCAACATTTCCGCCTCTACGTTCTTTGCTGTTCAGTTCTACTCTGCTCTGTTCTGTTCGGTTCTTATCTCGTCTGTTCTATTTAGTTCTATTCTGTTCAGTTCTGTTTCTGTTCTGCTCTGTTCTGTTCTGTTCTGTTTTTGTTCTGTTCTGTTCTGTTCTGTTCTGTTCTGTTCTGTTCTGTTCTGTTCTGTTCTGTTCTGTTCTGTTCTGTTCTGTTCTGTTCTGTTCTCCTCTGTTCTGCTCTGTTCTGTTCTGTTCTGTTCTGTTCTGTTCTGTTCTGTTCTGTTCTGTTCTGTTCTGTTCTGTTCTGTTCTGTTCTGTTCTGTTCTGTTCTACTTTTATTTCAAACTTTTCCTTAAAGAAAACAAGCAATTGACTGTCAATTTTTTCTCAATTATAGGAGAACGGCAAAAGGCAAGAAAAAATAAAGTGACTTCAAACAAAAAGCTTCAATTGGTCTGAGTTGCAAAACGTTTCCACTGAATATCTGAAGAGTTTCCTAGCAAAAAGAGTCTCTTCTTTGAAATTTTTTACGGTAGTTCATTGCATACAATTGCCAGTTTGTCACTTTAATTTTGAACCATGCAAGTCACAGCTGAACTTTCCACATTGAGACGTGCCGCCGATTGAATTCAAGCAATTTTCTATTAGCTACAATTCAAATAAGCTTATCTAATTTGATAATTATGCATAATTTCAAGCATATTGGTAAGAAAAATTAAGATATTTTTTGTACGGTTTAGAATCGACCTCATCCTTCGATGGACCCAACGAAATAGGAACGGGGAAAAGAACCGAGGCCACTTGCCCTCCTTCTCTATAAGAACATGCTTGAGAGCTTCCTCCTTTCTTATTATACTGTATTTCTTCTAAAGAACACCGCGGCGTTTCTTACTAAATCCAATTGTTGAGTGCGGCGTTTGATAGAGGGCAGGGTTTAATAGAGGGCGGCGTTCGGTGGTAGGTGGTCGAGGGGTATTTGAGATGATTACTGTTACGTAACAACGTAACGGGAATCTACCCTGTAATCGTTAGGGAGCGTTACAAAGGGGTGGGGTGGTTCCAAACTGTTACGTACAAATTGAAGGACAGAGTGAAGAATTCCCAAGTACGCCAAGTTATGTTCTCTGATCTTTGAGATTCTTGAGTCTGAAGATACGGTCCTTATGTCTCCAGACTCGGCCACATCTGATGGATAATATTTTTTTACTAGATATATATGACTGAGAGATGCGCTTAAGGGAAGAGGAACCAGCAAATAGTAGTGTGATATCACTTTGCCTTGTTCGTGTTTGGGAAAGAAGGGAATCATCTTTGATGTTGGCCAATTATTTATCAGTTTACAATCTTCATATTATTGTACGTGATATGCACATTTATATACACCGGCTTATTCATTTAAACATTTGTAAGTCAGTTTAATACGGAAAATATCCACTTAGGCAACCTGCATTAACAGTATCATAATCTGAGACGAGATTGTCCCTTAAGAATGTGATGCAGCCAAATAGAAGCTTAGTAAATGTTTGGCATCGCTATGTTTGTGCAGAATGAATTCCAGTATAACGTTCTTGGTGGTTTTTATTTTTGCTTGTATGATAAAGTAATATGTTATTACTATTTTATGTAATTTTGTAACTTTTTGTAGATCTTTATTTTAGCTAATTGCTACTCAAGCAGTCACTTGTATCGATAAACAGTCTTATGAAGATGTGTTGTTATTTTTTGCTTGATAACTAACAACACAAGTTGCAAAATAGCTTTGAAGATAGCAAAAAATTGTTAACACACTAAAGCTTTTCGTCTGACACTCTACAGAGTATGAAACGTCGGAAATAAAAACTTAAAGCTAGGGGATGTTTATACGCAATAGTAGATCAAAATAGGCCATTCAAAAACGCGAGCGTGACTGTTAAAATTACCCAGTCTGCAGGGGCATCCATTGAGGGGGATGTGGGGGATGGTTCAGTCCAATCACGAAAATACGGTCTTTTCGCAGGGCAAAACTGATTTTGGCTGGGCAAATTTTTTCTCCCAATGGATCTGCTTAGCGAGGAGGTAGTTTATGCTTGGAAATGGTCTGTTCTAAAAGTAACACGATCAAGATTGCCATTGAAACGAAAAAGGAATTATCAGCCATAGTTTGGGCTTGAGGGAAGAGATTGATTATGATTTCCTTTCACTGCAGAATTAATTTTGTCGATATCTTCGCCTATTTTTAAAACCATACAAAAAGGGCCAGAATAGTTTATCAGAAAACTTAGAAAAAATGATGTAATACCAACCGGGCGTTGCCATACAGCCTTGTGCCGGAAGAGATCGGGGATCCAATTTATTGTTAAAGTAGTTTGCCAAAATAGCTTAGGCATGTGTCAGAACAGACTATGGTACTGTTTTATACCTAAAACTTCATATGTAAACACATAAATATGCATGTGGTGCTTTGAATTTTTTGATCTCACCAGGTAGAGAATTCGGGACATATGATCAGTATGCACTTTTACAACTGGGAGCCCCTAATCAGTGGTGTAGGTAGCGAAATTCATAGGAGGGGCGAGAAGTTTATCCTCCCAAAGATTTATCCTCCCATTCTATACTCCCAAAGATTGGAGGATAGAAGAAAACAGCATGTTCCGTCAAGTATCAGAAACAAAACTCATTCCCAAAGAGAACAGCCACCTCGGTCTTGCAGATCTAAAAGTACAACTAAAACATGCGATTCTGCTATCGGGCACCATGTACTGGAAAACCCAGATTGTGCAAAAGACTTCAATGGCGACATGTTTCGGATTATTGGTAAAGCCCGATCGTCGTTCCATCTAGCAGCTTTGGAATCTATCTACATAAGCACGAGAAAGCCGTTATTGGGTAGACAAAAGGAGTTCGTTTTCACATTAGAACTCCATTGGTAACATTCTCTATAGGCAAGCGGCACTAATTGGGCAACCTCAACGCCTCCGCGACATTAATTTCCAACAAATCAAAAGTGAATTGTAAGTGATGCCATTTCCATCAAAACTTTGTGCCCCTAAAAACCTTTCCGGCCAATAAAAATTCAAAGTACGCCCCTGATTGTAGATAATGACATTAATACAGGGTGCAGTTTTACCAAAGAACATAGTTTTCAGGTGAATGGGCTCGGAACAGAAAATTGTCATGGTCCTCTGGTCTTTCCCACCTCTTGGTTGCTGGCGCCGCCACCGAATATACGAGAAACATTTTGTGTTGTTGCGCTGGTTTAACTTTCAGCCTGTTAAGTATTCATAGGGTTGTAGCATACGCAGGAGCTCTGAGATTCGTATGCTATTTGGTCGCTCCTTGTGTTACCCATTACATTTCCGTAATGTGGAAAATACCTGAAAGTTTATAAAAACAGTCAATTATAAAGTTTCTCGGAGCTCTATATTGATGATTGTGAAGAGCCCCTAAAGTTTTTCGGATTTTATGAAGATTTCAGACTTTCCCGTAAGGCATTTGTACTTCTGCGAGGGCATATGTCTTCGCCTTCTATTGTCTCCTCCGCCGTTTAAATATGCCCTCGCGAAATGCAAATGCCTTGCGGAGTTAACAAAGAAAAGACTTTGGAAAAGTCTATGAAGAATTTCATATTTTCAAGATAAAGTTTTTGATTCATGTCAAATTTGGGAAAAGCCTCCTACTTTGAGAGTTAATTTGCAAAGGCCCAGGCAACTGTGGCAGAATTGAACTATAAAGAAATTGTTCGTAACAGAGCACTCAAATCAGCAAGGCAAATCAGAATGGGTCCAAATTTGTGAAATATGTTAGTTTTTTACATTTGATCCTTATCGAGCAGGGGCGTTGTGGCTTCTAGAAAAGGCCCGGGAGAAAATCATCATAAAGGGGCCCACCATTTTGTATGACATCTCCAATCACAAACCACAGGTCGCAAAAAATGGTACATATGTTTGCCAGTTTTTATCATTTTTAAAGGTTTATATGCTATATTTGTTAGGGGTGTATCCTTTTTTCTCTAGCCATAGTCTCCTTAAGACTGCAAAAAATGTGAAACAAATCCAATGCTGTAGTGCACACCTGATACAAACACAAATGCGAAAGAGCACTTACTTGCACTGGGAGCGAAGCGAGCAGAAAATGTTTGCTGCCATGCGCCCTTTAAATTAGCTTGAAAAACATTTCAGAATGTTTTTGCTGTCGTTTACCACGTTTTACAATTTTTAGGCATACCTTGAGGCCCCCTTAAGCTCGAGGCCCTGGGGCAGTTTGCCCCTACTTGCCCCTACCTGGGGCAGTTTGTCCCCCTCTCGGCGGCCCTGTTCATATTCCAGGCATCATTTCACAGGGACCTGTTTGTCTGTTGTTTTACAAACTTACTTGAAAGGGGCCCACCGGGAAATTTCCCGGTGTCCCGCCTAGCCACAATGCCCCTGTTATTGAGTCATAATTGATGATTCACTTTGAAAATGAAACAGCGCCTTTTGTGAAACCATATTTTTTCTAATCTAAAGTCACACGTAAGAAAATTCTATAATAAAACTTCATTGTTCCGGACAGTGAAACACCTAAATTAGAACGAGTTAGCTCTTTTCTTCAAAACGTTGTTTGAAATAGTCACAGAACCTTTGATATGAAATTAGAATTATAAATAAATACCGTTGTTCTTTCAATGTTCCTTGTGTTGTACCAGAGTTTACTTTCATAGCTGCAGTTTTCCTTGGTATTTTCCCACGTGCAGTTTCAGGGTGACTGACAAGATGCAAAAAAGGAGTCTTGATTCGGACAAATCGCCCAAAAGAGGCAGACCTGAAGAAGCTGATTTCAAAGGTTCTTTTGCAAGGGTGTCACAAAGGACGTTTGGCAGTGTACTTACGCCGTGGCACGTGCGAATAGAAACAAATAAAGCGATAAGGCAAATTCATCAATAGAAACTAACTTTTTATTGAGTGAATGGTTATCTTTTTTACAGTTGCTTCACTATTCTTAAAAGGCAGGATGGGTTTAGGGATATGAGGATAACAAAAGCAGAGGCAATTATAGGGTGGCTTGGCAGTGAATAGTGCATGCCCTCAAATCTGAAGTCTCTATTCATTCGGGAATGAAATACCAATACGAAATGGAGGGTAAAAGCTCCCTCAGAAAAATATGCCATAGACATCAGAAGGTCAGTCATGAAACAACGTTCCCACATCATCGAGAGCAAGTTGGGCCGCTGGTGCATCGGCGCAAATTGCACAACCTACCATAATCCTACTGTAACAGGAAGGGAAGTTACACAATAACCCCCAAGTTTGATTGATAATTGGAAGGGGATGGAATGGAAAAGCCTCTAATAGCTGATGAATCAGTCCTACCTATTAGCATCAAAAATGCTGAATAGCATGAAAGATGAGCATAAAAGATGCATAAAGGTATTAGAGATTTTTACGATGCCGTAAAAGAAACGCGAAACGCAAGGGTATACCTACCTTGGGTACCAGAGTCACATAAATTCGAGAGCAGAAATAGAAGATAGGAATGGAAAAGCGAAGGAGTGTCTATTTGGGAATAAGGAAAAGTGAAAACATTGCATTCTGTTTACGCGCTCAAAATGCTCTGGTACCCAGGGTAGGCTATACCGGAAAGGCATTTCCATGTAAAGAAAAAAAATGAGAGAGGGAGGGCTGAGAAAATAAACGGCATACTTGTATTGAGGTTTCACCAAGCAAGGTGAGACCCACGCTATGCCGACCTTTAAATACCCGTAGATTAACCAAGGGAATGAAAAACCACGAACCACGCACCTTACCCTAGTATTACAAATCAAATCCTCAGGAGGCCGAACGATTCCCTGCATTGCCCATAAACTGGTACATACAAGAGTACGTGGGAAGCTTTTCACAAAAGACCATATATGGCAAACAATATCTCAAGCGAATCAGTTAAAGGTCAAAAGCTCCTCGTGAAGTTAACTCTGATTGAAGTTCATTTAATCATCATTTTAACATGAAAGCTTATTATATAAGGTGAAGGTTTTCTTCGCCCTCCAAGATTAACATCTCACTTTGATACATTTTTGTGCGGTCGGAAGATAATAATATAAAGCTTTGGGACAAAAACGCAAATGTACTCAATCATTCCCATGAAAATGAGAAGAAAACTCATTATTATATCCTTGATGTAGCCATTGATCCCAACAAAAACAGGAATGTACACCAAGATAGTGACGCACCATGAAACCATAGTGAAGAGGAGGAACTTCGACTCGTTGTAGTTGCATTTTGCTTTGCGAACAAGGATAGCTTGATATGTGGTCACCAAAATCAGCCCTGAAAATAACCATATATTTGGTACATTGATCACAGATAGTAACTTAGGGAGTAAATGCTAGTGATATAAGAGAAAACAAAAATATTTATGCAGCCATGACGCGAGCATTTGTACATTTGTTTTCAATCAGTATGGGGCAAGAAGAAGAGTAAAAGACAGCAGAAATGCTCAATTTAACTTAAGATGTAAAAATAAGAGGCAATATCTAAGACAGAGTCATTTTCGCACCAGTGACAATACCACAAGGGGATTGGATAATTTCTCGTTAAAGTCATCTTTCCGTTTTGCCCCAGGGTCTCCAAAACCTCTTGTTGGCCCTGTTTCTTTGCCTGGAATTACACAGAGCATTTGGTCCAGCACATTAAAATTCAACGCATGGACCCTGCACTGTGTATACCTGGAAAAATTTGATAAATTTGAATTTGCCAGTTTTGCAGGGATGAATTATTTGTTAGCGTTTGCAATAAAAAATGTACCTGCGTTGTATGAACACCAAAGAGCCACGCCTTTGGAGCTGTTACCATACATACAGGCCTGACAGCTCTCTCTTGGACTAAGCATAACCTTTTTCAGATGCGGTCTATCCATTGTTAAAATCCACACAAGACAAATCAGCTCTTCAAGGGCTATTATCAGAACCACTATAACAACCTGACGCTTTAAGATACTCCCGTTTGTTTCGAATGCTTTCTCGTTGAAAGAACGTGCTGTCTTGTTGGTTTTCACAAAGATGGTTCCTAGAACAGCAATAAATAGTACCGTAAAACCTCGAGCATAAAGGCTTAATTAAGGCTTAAGTAATAACAAACGCAACAGAAACGACTTACAAACAAGAATGCGAAGAAATCGATTATCGCTTATCTCAAATTGCATCTTGTTTTACAAAGGAATTAAAAAAGTGACAAAATGCAACGGAACATCACATAAACATAAGATTGGAATCATAAATTTGCCTACATCTATGTATGACCAAAGACAAAGAAAAAATATCACTTACCAATATTGAATGATAAACAAAACCCTATCAGAAAGGGCTTCAGGTCGCAATTGATTGCTCTTGGTTTGCCGATGAAAACAAACGGCAATATTTCAAAGCAGATCACCCCAAGAAGCTGCATGTAGCAAAGTGAGTGCCTGGCAGCTTTAACGATGGGCGTATCTTTAAAAAGTGCAAACACGACATATGTCAAGATTACAACTGCTATACAAATAGATGAGAGAGTTACAATTGCAATAGAAATGCCTCCATTCCATTCAATAAATACGTCATGAATTGGGATACAATCTGTCCTGTTATCATTTGGTGAGAATCCGCGAGGGCAGATTGAGCATTTCTTGGCATTCATATACTTGGTGATTGTTCCTCCGCCGCATTTTACGCAGTTCCAACAACAGTTTGGGTGCAGCTTCTGTGGCGTCTTATATTCACCTCAAAGGAAAAATCTAATTATTTCTCAAAAGGCGTGACAGACGAAAGAAGATCAAATTATTCCTGAACGCACAATGGAACTATAACTTTGATAATCTTTAAAACTAATGATCAGTATTTGATTTTTTTTTCGATAATCTGGTTGCAGTGGTGCCGTGGAAGGGGGCTTGGGGTCCTCTAGAGACCCCTTGTAAAAATCAAGAGAGATCTTGGGGGCTCAGCCCGCCTTAACAAGGCCAGTTTATGTTTGGTTGGGCAAATTCTCGGGGGGGGGGGGGCTCAGCCAAGAATCCTTAATACAAATCCAAATATACAGGGTGTGACCATGGGCGTGGTCTTGGGTGTGACTTCTACAGATGACTGAATGGGTGTGACTGAATGTTTTTAAACATCGGTTGTTTCAGAAGAACCCGTTTGCAATCAGGCAGGTACTAGATAATAGTAGTATTCATACCTGGTGCGCAATTTCTGCTACAGTTTGAGCCAGGTGCCACAACTGAATCCCATTTCACTTGAGTTATCAAATGAAAACGGCCAATGCTCGAATTTCCCGTTGGATGCAGTGTCCAATTAGCAATCCTTACTAGATTCAGTGCAGATGTGGTTCTTTGGAAGCTTACTACCTTTAAGAGAATAGCAGATATGAAATTGATTAATGAAATATGAAACTCATATTATGCTACATCTTCTTAGTCATTAACGATACAAGACTTTCTTAAATTCTAAATTCTTCATTTGTGAGGGCTTAGTAAATTTTCTTTTAAACTGTACCAAACCAACAGATCGAAGGTCACAAGAAGTCAGATATTTGGACGTAATAGTGTTGATTCTTTGTCTTCACAAATAAAAATTCTAAATAATGATTGAATTTTCAATGAAAAATTTACCACTGAAATTTAAAGAGCTCGTAAAAAGATATTTAAAAACCACCGATCAAAGAACGAGATACAACTTTTTATATGGGGGGCAGCCTTTATAAATAAATGTAGCAACAGCCATATTTTACAAAATAAAAGTATTTTACTTATGCTACTTAAGATTAATGGCCAAGGCCCCTGGCCCCTCTGCCCCTCGGCCCCCCGCCCCCGGTATCTCGGTCCTTGCTACCAATTATTGGGCTTTGCACTTTGCCGGGCCCCAAACATAGTTATCTTTACATTTTCTTAGCTCTACTGATTTGTTAGTGACCTTTTGGTAGGTCCAATTCCAAGAGCACCGCAAGATGAAACTTATTCTATGGAAGGCTGGCCAAAGGTGGCTTTCAAAGCATAAAAAATAATTTCTCAAGCCAAGCCCAATTTGAGCAGTATTTGAAAGTTATCAGGCAGCTTTAATAATAAACTACAAGATTAATAAAGATTAATTATAAAGTGCATGATTGGGGTACATCGATACTCAAAGAGGACAAACAATCGTCGCGTGATTAAAATTGCTTGCAAACCTGGTATGAGCGGGAGGCAGTTCCCTCTCCATCAAACGAAATATTTCTTCCTGATATGCCAGTGAATGTTATGTGTCTAAGGTAGTCAACCAAATCCCCGTTTCTGCTTCGTAAAACGTGGCAATTTTGCTCTGAGCAATGCAACTGCTTATGCAATGCTGATGCAACTGCGTAAACAGCATCGAATGTTGGTGCAACGAAAGGAGATACTTCATAGTGTCTGCCTACTACACATTCAGAGAGTTTTTGTCTCTCGCAAAACGATTCTTCGAAACAATTAAAAGATTTTGCCCAGGGCAAAGATGAACCGTTTGTTGCTTTTATTAGTTCATGTCTAAACCATTCATCTTCAAACTGCATTGGCCCAACTCCAAGCATCGGTTCCAATACCAGATCCTTGTGTCGTGTTGTTAAATGGGCACTCGTCCAAGAGTCGGATAACAGCCACGTGAAGTCGGACAAACTTTTAGCTTTACTTTCGTTTAGTGTTCTTATGAGGTAATCCACTTTCAAAAATGAGACAATAATTCTTGCTTTTGCTTTTTTCTTAATCTTAGATACGATTTCGGGCAAATTTTGAGCTGTGACAACCTCGTCCATCTCTATGCACAACGAATACTGAGCTATCTCAGATCGCAAGGCTCTTCGTCCTGACCGCCCATACTCGTCATCGCTAGTAAGCAGAATGAAGAAATTCCATCCAAACTGTAGCATCATATCGATAATAACTTTAGCCTGGTAGTTATCTGGTGGAACTGTCCGAAAGAAATGACCAAATCTTTTCCTGTCACCAAGCGTTACACTTGTTGCTGATTGGCTCACAACGGGTATGTGGAATAGGCCCGCCAAGTCGGCGACTGCGCGCGCAGTCTCACTCAAAGTAGGGCCAATTATGGCGACTGTTTCGTTCTCAAAATGGCTTGCATCTAAGGAATGCAAAGTTCAATCACTTTCGGTTTATAACACAATTTTTATTCAACAATGAGTAAAAAATACAAAAACGTGTAGATCAGTTCGTGTATTTTCTATTCACACTATCCTTATGGCTAAAAGATATAATTTTAAGCATTTTGGTTACACTCTTATATTTGATTGATTTATGAATACTTTTAAGGTCCTTTAGGCTATAAATTTAATTGAGCAGATAACTTTTAGCAAATTGAATAATTTCATTAGCTTAAAAGAAAGATCTAATTTTGCACAGTTCAGAAGCTTTTGGGTCAAAGTAAAAATTTGATTAGAAATTTATTGGCAAGAGATTTAGTGGCAAAAAGGTTGACAAAAGACGTCGATGCAGCTACACAGTTTTGACAAAAAAAAGGAAAAGAGATGTAGCAGTAAACCATCGTAAAAAGAAGGGACTTTGAGGTTCAAAATCAAAATACCTGTAGAGAAATCCGAATATCAAAATTCAGGGACATCTTCCGGCGATTTGCCAGTGCTAGACAGGAATGGTTGCAATGTTTTCCCCAGTTCAGTTTGCAATGTTATGCATATAATACAAAGTTCATTTCTATTTACAGTTGAATGGATTTTGCTTCCTTCTTTAGAAATTTTTCAGTGGAGCTTTTCCTTTAGTGTCACAATTGCCCCCTTTCCTCTAGTGTCACAATTGCCCCTTTTCTCTCCCAGTCTCAATGTATTATTTTTTTATTAACCTTAAATTCCCAGCCTATTGCAAAAAGCGTTGGCGAGTTTCTTTTAAAAAATAAGCGTATTGAACTCTATTCTTACTAGAAATGGTTGCAAGTGATGTTCTGCTGTTGTTCTTGCATGAAGTGTGCTTTCTAATGTGGCCTCTCACAAAACTGAAATTAAGAACTTCCCGCACAGCAGTGTTAACTTCACCACACGTATCTGTGATATGAGCACCAATGGTCACGCCGGGCAGAAATTTTTCATTTCTATTCACATCTCTTACAGCCAGCAACATTGCTAGCATTTCTTGAAATGCAGAGCGGCTGAAAGCAGAGTTGCAGCTATCATATTCTGCTTCTATATGACAAGTTTCGTGCAACATGAACAAACCACCAAGAATTATGTCTCCAGGCATGAAAATACCTTCTCTCTCCGCCTCCTGTTTGTCTTTCTTCGTTAGCAGCTGACTGGTGGAAAATTCGAAGCATAATAGAACGGAAAGAAAGATAGAAGTCCCCAATGGAATCATTTTTGTTGCTTAAGCGGGTTGGTCTAGATTTCATTTGATCCACCAGAGCTTGATGGTTCTTTATCGATGATCACTGATGAAGAACATCTTCATGTTGGACGGTAGATGAAGCGTATAGCCTAAAAAGAGAGAGCTACCCAGTAGAACTTTCAGATCTTCTAATTCTATTCTATAATTCTTTAGGGCTAAAAGCGAATAAAATTGGCTTGACTGGTGGTTCGTTGGTAAATATTTTGCATTTTTGGCAAAAAGTGGGGCGGGCTATAGCCCCTTCCTCCGCGGTGCCTGACCTTGTGCAAAATGTTGCGAAAAACAATAGCAAAAGTAGAAATTGGCCAATGTTAGGCATTAACAAAGGGATAGAGACCCCCGCGTCCTCCACCCTAGTACTACACCCCTGCTCTTGAGTTCACATGCCTCAATATCCAAGCAATTGGTTTTCAATACCAAGAAGCCATGAAGAAAAATCTGCAGAATCTTTACTCTACTTCTAGATTTTAAACACTTAAATTCAAAGTTGAAAGACATTGTCTTATTTGAAGTCTTTCAAATTTCAAGATACAACCCAGGTTCAAAAAGTGTTTCCTTTTGCATATGTACGTCATTTCTTGATTAGCACAATGTGTCTATTAAGCTTGTCCATTATTCTCCTCTTTTTGCCTCCTAGCCTTGAATTCACCTAGAAGTGTCATAGTCATTTCTAATGGCCCACCCGCACTTTGGGTGTACCAGGTATTTTGGCGTGATTGCGTGATCGGCGTATTTTCGATGCGTGAATCGTGAAACAAATTTTTATTATGCGTGAATGCGTGAATTAGCATTACATACGGCGTGATTGCGTGAAAGTGAGTGCTGCAAGCGAATTTCGAAATGGGGTGCTCAGTGGTGGCGCTAGGTTTCCTCCGACAAAGGGGCTAGCACTTCCGACGGAGGGGCTAATTTTTTTAGAGAACGATAGGGCTAGGGGGCGACAAGGAATTGTAAGGGTACTGGAGACCGAAGGCGAGCGTTGCGAGCCGAAAATTCGGGGGGTCCGGGGGTACTCCCCCGGGAAAATTTTGGTGGCTACACCCATTAGATTGGCTAAAAATGCTATCAAAATGGTGTAATCGTGTTTTTTACTACGTTTTTTGACATATTACTAAGGGCACGTTTGCCCCCTCCCTTGCCCCTCCTAGCAAAGGGCAGGAGGGGCGCTTGCCCCCCCGCGCCCCCCTTCTCCGGCGTCCCTGGAAATTTTTTTTGAAAGCTGCCTCTAGATAAGCTTAAAACTACTCTAAATCTTTACAACTCATCAAACGTTGCCAATTCAAGTAGGGCCTATCTTTGGAAAGTATGAATTTAAATAAAAAGCAACCAACTGAACTTAAGGAAAACTGGAACACAACGTAACTTTATAGGAACAGACCTAAGCGGTGGAATACGCACTTCTACATATCGAAAATTCAAGTCCAAGAATCAAAATTGTTTCACAGAGCAATTCTACTCTTCGGGAACTTAGCCTTAAATCTGTCTTTTTTCTAATTTCCGCCAAAACTTAAAAAATTCGCTCCGACAAAAAAAATTCAAGCATAATTTATCTTCCGACGGAGGGGCTAGCCTCCTCCGACGGGGGGGCTGTAGCCCCCCCTGCCCCCCCTCTGGCGCCACCACTGGGGGTGCTATCGTTTTTACCAGCACACAGTCTTGGTTTTCGGTACCAGACCAGATAAATGTCTCCATTATTCAGAGATTCCAATGCCGATGGCTCTGCCAACAAGAAATTTCGACTATTAGATAGTTGTTAAAAATTCAGAGAGATTCTAGGGGGCGTGATCGGGAAAGTTAATTTCCAATACCGTGGAAGCGTGATTTGCAATTATTCTACGCGTGATTGCGTGATCAGGATGGATACCTGGTACCCCCCACTTTGACATGAATTGTCAATATGAATAGGAAATTCAAAATCTAATCGCACGTGAAAATAAGGTGAGAAACTCGAAGATGGTTTCTGAGAAAAGAGGGTGGTTTCTCCGAAAAGAGGATGGTTTCTCAGAAAACACAAACGAGGAATTACGTAATTGCATTTGTCGAGTTACCCCTAACAACCTTCGTTCCGAAACAGAGTATATAAAAAGCTAATCTGTGGTTTAGGCACAGTGGTTTAGTTTTCATCGAAGCAGAATCAGACGAGTCGAAAGAATCAGGCCAACGGGTTAGTTGCAATTATGTCAGTAGACTTTTAACTTTGTGTCATTTGGAGTTGCTTTTTTATCAAAATAACCTTCAATTGAATTGCCTACAGAATTGCCTACATGATTAAATTCAATTGCCTACAGTTTGTGCACACAGCGACTGTAGTAAAAAGAATCATATTCTCATCTATACAAAGTTCATTTAGGCATTTTTCTTATATTTTCTATGAAGTTAGCCCGCGTCACTTACCATGCGAAGACAGGAATATGAATAGTACGATTCCTGTTTTGTTATGGTCAGTGTCGCAGGCTAGATTTTGAAGTATGATTAAGCGGGTTGGTCTAGATTTCATTTGATCCACCAGAGCTCGATGGTTCTTTATCGATGATTACTAATGAAGAACATCTTTATGTTGGACGGTAGATGAAGCGTATAGCCTAAAAAGAGAGAGCTACCCAGTAGAACTTTCAGATCTTCTAATTCTATTCTATAATTCTTTAGGGCTAAAAGCGAATAAAATTGGCTTGACTGGTGGTTCATTGGTAAATATTTTGCATTTTTGGCAAAAAGTGGGGCGGGCTATAGCCCCCTCCTCCGCGGTGCCTGACCTTGTGCAGAATGTTGCGAAAAACAATAGCAAAAGTAGAAATTGGCCAATGTTAGGCATTAACAAGGGGATAGAGACCCCCGCGTCCTCCACCCTAGTACTACACCCCTGCTCTTGAGTTCACATGCCTCAATATCCAAGCAATTGGTTTTCAATACCAAGAAGCCATGAAGAAAAATCTGCAGAATCTTTACTCTACTTCTAGATTTTAAACACTTAAATTCAAAGTTGAAAGACATTGTCTTATTTGAAGTCTTTCAAATTTCAAGATACAACCCAGGTTCAAAAAGTGTTTCCTTTTGCATATGTACGTCATTTCTTGATTAGCACATTGTGTCTATTAAGCTTGTCCATTATTCTCCTCTTTTTGCCTCCTAGCCTTGAATTCACCTAGAAGTGTCATAGTCATTTCTAATGGCCCACCCGCACTTTGGGTGTACCAGGTATTTTGGCGTGATTGCGTGATCGGCGTATTTTCGATGCGTGAATCGTGAAACAAATTTTTATTATGCGTGAATGCGTGAATTAGCATTACATACGGCGTGATTGCGTGAAAGTGAGTGCTGCAAGCGAATTTCGAAATGGGGTGCTATCGTTTTTACCAGCACACAGTCTTGATTTTCGGTACCAGACCAGATAAATGTCTCCATTATACAGAGATTCCAATGCCGATGGCTCTGCCAACAAGAAATTTCGACTATTAGATAGTTGTTAAAAATTCAGAGAGATTCTAGGGGGCGTGATCGGGAAAGTTAATTTCCAGTACCGTGGAAGAGCGATTTGCAATTATTCTACGCGTGATTGCGTGATCAGGATGGATACCTGGTACCCCCCCCCCCCACTTTGACATGAATTGTCAATATGAATAGGAAATTCAAAATCTAATCGCACGTGAAAATAAGGTGAGAAACTCGAGGATGGTTTCTGAGAAAAAAAGGGTGGTTTCTCCGAAAAGAGGATGGTTTCTCAGAAAACACAAACGAGGAATTACGTAATTGCATTTGTCGAGTTACCCCTAACAACCTTCGTTCCGAAACAGAGTATATAAAAAGCTAATCTGTGGTTTAGACACAGTGGTTTAGTTTTCATCGAAGCAGAATCAGACGAGTCGAAAGAATCAGGCCAACGGGTTAGTTGCAATTATGACAGTAGACTTTTAACTTTGTGTCATTTGGAGTTGCTTTTTTATCAAAATAACCTTCAATTGAATTGCCTACAGAATTGCCTACAGAATTGCCTACATGATTAAATTCAATTGCCTACAGTTTGTGCACACAGCGATTGTAGTAAAAAGAATCATATTCTCATCTATACAAAGTTCATTTAGGCATTTTTCTTATATTTTCTATGAAGTTAGCCCGCGTCACTTACCATGCGAAGACAGGAATATGAATAGTACGATTCCTGTTTTGTTATGGTCAGTGTCGCAGGCTAGATTTTGAAGTATGATTAAGCGGGTTGGTCTAGATTTCATTTGATCCACCAGAGCTTGATGGTTCTTTATCGATGATCACTGATGAAGAACATCTTTATGTTGGACGGTAGATGAAGCGTATAGCCTAAAAAGAGAGAGCTACCCAGTAGAACTTTCAGATCTTCTAATTCTATTCTATAATTCTTTAGGGCTAAAAGCGAATAAAATTGGCTTGACTGGTGGTTCATTGGTAAATATTTTGCATTTTTGGCAAAAAGTGGGGCGGGCTATAGCCCCCTCCTCCGCGGTGCCTGACCTTGTGCAAAATGTTGCGAAAAACAATAGCAAAAGTAGAAATTGGCCAATGTTAGGCATTAACAAGGGGATAGAGACCCCTGCGTCCTCCACCCTAGTACTACACCCCTGCTCTTGAGTTCACATGCCTCAATATCCAAGCAATTGGTTTTCAATACCAAGAAGCCATGAAGAAAAATCTGCAGAATCTTTACTCTACTTCTAGATTTTAAACACTTAAATTCAAAGTTGAAAGACATTGTCTTATTTGAAGTCTTTCAAATTTCAAGATACAACCCAGGTTCAAAAAGTGTTTCCTTTTGCATATGTACGTCATTTCTTGATTAGCACATTGTGTCTATTAAGCTTGTCCATTATTCTCCTCTTTTTGCCTCCTAGCCTTGAATTCACCTAGAAGTGTCATAGTCATTTCTAATGGCCCACCCGCACTTTGGGTGTACCAGGTATTTTGGCGTGATTGCGTGATCGGCGTATTTTCGATGCGTGAATCGTGAAACAAATTTTTATTATGCGTGAATGCGTGAATTAGCATTACATACGGCGTGATTGCGTGAAAGTGAGTGCTGCAAGCGAATTTCGAAATGGGGTGCTATCGTTTTTACCAGCACAAAGTCTTGGTTTTCGGTACCAGACCAGATAAATGTCTCCATTATTCAGAGATTCCAATGCCGATGGCTCTGCCAACAAGAAATTTCGACTATTAGATAGTTGTTAAAAATTCAGAGAGATTCTAGGGGGCGTGATCGGGAAAGTTAATTTCCAGTACCGTGGAAGAGCGATTTGCAATTATTCTACGCGTGATTGCGTGATCAGGATGGATACCTGGTACCCCCCCCCCCACTTTGACATGAATTGTCAATATGAATAGGAAATTCAAAATCTAATCGCACGTGAAAATAAGGTGAGAAACTCGAGGATGGTTTCTGAGAAAAGAGGGTGGTTTCTCCGAAAAGAGGATGGTTTCTCAGAAAACACAAACGAGGAATTACGTAATTGCATTTGTCGAGTTACCCCTAACAACCTTCGTTCCGAAACAGAGTATATAAAAAGCTAATCTGTGGTTTAGGCACAGTGGTTTAGTTTTCATCGAAGCAGAATCAGACGAGTCGAAAGAATCAGGCCAACGGGTTAGTTGCAATTATGTCAGTAGACTTTTAACTTTGTGTCATTTGGAGTTGCTTTTTTATCAAAATAACCTTCAATTGAATTGCCTACAGAATTGCCTACATGATTAAATTCAATTGCCTACAGTTTGTGCACACAGCGACTGTAGTAAAAAGAATCATATTCTCATCTATACAAAGTTCATTTAGGCATTTTTCTTATATTTTCTATGAAGTTAGCCCGCGTCACTTACCATGCGAAGACAGGAATATGAATAGTACGATTCCTGTTTTGTTATGATCAGTGTCGCAGGCTAGATTTTGAAGTATGATTAAGCGGGTTGGTCTAGATTTCATTTGATCCACCAGAGCTCGATGGTTCTTTATCGATGATTACTAATGAAGAACATCTTTATGTTGGACGGTAGATGAAGCGTATAGCCTAAAAAGAGAGAGCTACCCAGTAGAACTTTCAGATCTTCTAATTCTATTCTATAATTCTTTAGGGCTAAAAGCGAATAAAATTGGCTTGACTGGTGGTTCATTGGTAAATATTTTGCATTTTTGGCAAAAAGTGGGGCGGGCTATAGCCCCCTCCTCCGCGGTGCCTGACCTTGTGCAAAATGTTGCGAAAAACAATAGCAAAAGTAGAAATTGGCCAATGTTAGGCATTAACAAGGGGATAGAGACCCCCGCGTCCTCCACCCTAGTACTACACCCCTGCTCTTGAGTTCACATGCCTCAATATCCAAGCAATTGGTTTTCAATACCAAGAAGCCATGAAGAAAAATCTGCAGAATCTTTACTCTACTTCTAGATTTTAAACACTTAAATTCAAAGTTGAAAGACATTGTCTTATTTGAAGTCTTTCAAATTTCAAGATACAACCCAGGTTCAAAAAGTGTTTCCTTTTGCATATGTACGTCATTTCTTGATTAGCACAATGTGTCTATTAAGCTTGTCCATTATTCTCCTCTTTTTGCCTCCTAGCCTTGAATTCACCTAGAAGTGTCATAGTCATTTCTAATGGCCCACCCGCACTTTGGGTGTACCAGGTATTTTGGCTTGATTGCGTGATCGGCGTATTTTCGATGCGTGAATCGTGAAACAAATTTTTATTATGCGTGAATGCGTGAATTAGCATTACATACGGCGTGATTGCGTGAAAGTGAGTGCTGCAAGCGAATTTCGAAATGGGGTGCTATCGTTTTTACCAGCACACAGTCTTGATTTTCGGTACCAGACCAGATAAATGTCTCCATTATACAGAGATTCCAATGCCGATGGCTCTGCCAACAAGAAATTTCGACTATTAGATAGTTGTTAAAAATTCAGAGAGATTCTAGGGGGCGTGATCGGGAAAGTTAATTTCCAATACCGTGGAAGCGTGATTTGCAATTATTCTACGCGTGATTGCGTGATCAGGATGGATACCTGGTACCCCCCCCCCCCACTTTGACATGAATTGTCAATATGAATAGGAAATTCAAAATCTAATCGCACGTGAAAATAAGGTGAGAAACTCGAGGATGGTTTCTGAGAAAAGAGGGTGGTTTCTCCGAAAAGAGGATGGTTTCTCAGAAAACACAAACGAGGAATTACGTAATTGCATTTGTCGAGTTACCCCTAACAACCTTCGTTCCGAAACAGA